AGTGGAAAAAAAACCACCTGGTCTCCTTACATTCACCTCCCTCAGCCACTCTTTCATCATCTCCTCAATGAGGAGTTCTGCATGGTGCGTGGTGGTCTCAAAGGTCCGCAGTAACAACACACATAGGGCGCACCGCACCAAAGGGCGCGCCGCACATTTTGAGGGGAAAAAAGACGTTTATATGCGCCTAGGGCTGGGTATTGTTCAAAAATTTTCGGTTCCGGTACCAATACCGATACCTTCACTTCGATACCGGTTCCTGAACGATACTTTTTTCGGTACCAGTTTTATAATATCAATTCGAAGAAAAAGAAAATTACACAACATAAAAAAGTACAAATCTTGAGTTTATTTTAAGCTCTGATTTTTCCATTTACATTTTTCCTCTTACATAAAAAAAAAATTCAGTGTCTAATATTCACTGTTACATTGTGATAGGGTGACCATATTTTCCTTTCGGAAAACCAGGACACCTTGGAGCGCGGGGTGGGGGTTGGGACCTCTGTTCCTCTGTTCTGTAACTCCAATAACAAATGATAATTTCATTCAAAATGTATTTATTAAAAATGCTTAACAATTCCTGTAATGAATTGTTGTGCAAAAATAATGTCCTGCAGATAATGAATAGATGGTTAACTAGAACTGGAGTTATAGTTAATTATTATCCTATGCAACATCGAAGGCAAAATCAATTTAGTGTTCTTAGGTGGATAATTATAGCCCTGAATTATCTACTTACCGGTTGCAGATCCACAACTGGAGTGTTCCGGGATCGGCTGTTAAAATCCAGGTATCCACCAGTCTAGTGGCCCCGGTTAAGTTATCAGCAAAGCTATTAAATTATCAATAAAGAACCTTCTATCTCTGTTTATTTGCACTATTACCAAAAGGGGGTGGATTTGCGCTGAGTGATAAACCCTCCGTTATATGAATGACCAAAACCACTACAGATTAACCAATGATGTCTTTATTCTAATAATTCAGGATTACAGAAATCTAACATCTATGCAAACACAACACACTACTAGAAAAATAAACACGAGGTAGATTAAATGACTAGTTTAAAAGAAAAATCGAAAATAAAGAATTAAACGAGATAGAAACAAAGAAATAAAACCACAAGAGTCCGTTTACTGGCGTCTGAAATTGTCCAAAATATGCCAGATATTAATACATTCACTTATGTCCGCTAGCAGCAGGTATAATAGTGCAATTGATCATGTAAACTAATACATCCAACTTAAAATCAGCAAATAATTAAATGCATTAACAAAGCAGCAGGTGTGATGATAACAGTGCAATTGATCGTGTACATTAACACATCCAGCTTAGTATTGGTAAATTATTAAACATGTATTAACAATAGCAGCGTTCAGCAAAAAACCCTTTTTGCCTGGCAATGAAGCAATGTGTGTGAATGGGTGTAGCCAAATGGGGGACCACCCCCCTTTGTTCTCCACGCGGTGAGGGGAACAAAGAGAAATGGGGGGGGCGACCTGTAATCAGGATGGCGGCGACCACGGGGACCCCACGTGGCTGAATGTGATAACTTTATCTCTATCTCAAAGCAGAAACAACGAAGAGGACAGGAAAGCCAAGAAAGAAAGTATAGAAGCACACACTTATTTTAACCAAATAAACAAACCCTTAATCAGCACAGATAAAAAAAAGAACATCAGCATTAATTCAAAACCCTAAACTGCCTTTCTCTCGCCTGAGCACAGCAAGTCTGATGCATCAAAAGGAAAGTAAATTGATTTTACTGTGAGATGCGTCGTCCGAGGGAGGTTGGCGTTTCCACGGCAACCGCAGCTTGGTTTCTGTCAGGCAGAGGTTCTCTTCCACCGGTCCGCCCCTTGGGAAGTTCAGTCAGTTCGGGGCCGCAGCAGAGGGGTTGATATGCTCACGAGTTGGAAAGGAGGAAATTTAGGAGGTGATCTTAGGAGGTGGTCAGCTAGAGAGCGTCCTCTCAGCCGATTCTTCCAAGGAAGGGGAAAACGAAACTCCGCGGTCAGCTTCAAAGGCTTCTGTCTCCCAGTCAGCGCAGCCGCTATGCACGATGGAACACTGCGATCCGTGACTTTTGACGCAGGAAAACGAAAGCTACTTCCAGTCAGCTTTCTTCTGGTATTTCACATGGAATGGGTCTCTCCTGACGGGCTCCAAACCCATGGAAAAAGAGACTGGAGTCTTCTCAAGCATGGCTTTTAAACCATGTGTGACACGGGAGCACTTACTGTGGAAGTAACGGCTGATTTGTCTGTGCCATGAGTGACATGGTGGAACTTCCTGTTGGAGTATTCGGCTGATTGGTCCATTTGAGGTGGCCGCCTCTCACAGTGGGCCGGGTCTTCTTTATTCTTGTTTTGGAGGGAATCCTTTGTTCTCCCTTGTGAAGAAGAGAAGGGGGATGGGTTCCAGGTGGCTAAGAAGGGGGATGGTTTCAGATGGCTCACCCCACTGATTTAGCTCCATTTTGGCAATATATCCCAACAGAATGAATAGCACAATGAAAGAAATAATGTCTAATCTAAACATCCCTCAATTAACAAAAGTTAACAATAACTCTCAACTCCCAATAACAGATGATACTCAGCCTCAGTAATGAACGAAATAATGTCTGTTCTGTAGGTTATTGGAAAAAATAAATTAACAAATGAGCTAATTAACAAAAAATACCTCTTGTGTAGCAAACATTTTTCAAAATGTACCAAAAACGAACAAACATGTCAATAGACTATCTTTACTTTTGGTGTCCAGGTGGCTTTTCAGATCCCTTGCACCTCCATTGGACACCGAGACATATGTGCCTGCTTTGCACACTGTGCACAAGGCATCCATTGTGTCTCGACCCAGTCAGAAAGCGGGGAAACTGTTTTATAAATTGTCGGTAAACATACATTTGCACTTTTGCATGTTGTTGGCGTACTGACAGCCACGCTATCTATTTTCTGATTAAGAACAGGGCTGCCCGCACTGACGCGGCTCAGGGATTACGTCACATGCAGCGTCGTGCGCAGTGCCCTAGTGCCTGTTAATTTAAAAGTCCAATGAAGGTGATTTAAAAAATCAGGACATTTCCTCACTTTCTAAAAAAACCCGGGATGCCCAGGACAGGACATGAAATACGGACATGTCCTGGGAAATACGGACGTTTGGTCACCCTACATTGTGAGGACCTTTTTACTTAGCAGTTTTCCTTTAGAAAAATTACCATGTCTGACAAACAAGCCCGTTGAATGAGATCCTACTGACAGCGCACCGCTGGTATGTGGGGGTCTGAGCGGTTCCGACAGAAATATTGGAAGGCAGGATGAACTGACTGCACTGATGAAGTTTTCAGGTGGATTTTCCCACTTAAAAACATAATAAAACTACTTTATTCCCACTGATCACAGGAAATATAGCTGCAAGGCAAATAAAGGATAGAGTAGCTCCGCCCAACGCGCGTCAGAGCCACTTTTCGACCGCGCAGCCAGAGCAGCAAAGCTGCTTCATCCGCGCGTCAGTAGCTGGTACAAGCAGCAAAAAGGAAGCAGCAGACGTGATTTTGCTGCTCCTGGTGCGTCCAGTTTGAAAGCAGCATGATTCACTCCGCTCTGGCTTTGCTCTGCCCGCGGGCTGCTGAGAGCGCCGGCTGCGGTCCGCTCTTCTTGCAGTCAAACACCGAGCAACTTTCTGCTCTTAAATTGTTTCTGTGCACGATGTATTGCATTGCGCACTATTAGCATCAGTCTTAATAAAGTTTAGTAACACTTTTGACCTGGGGGGCATTTTAAAGGGGTTCCACGACGCTGCAACCAGTTCACAACAGATACACATTAACCCTGGCTGTAGGCGGGACCACCTGTGTATTTTTCCTGGATGACGCAATCACGTTAAGTGTTACAGCCAATCACCGAAACTTGGCACCGAAAGACGAGGCATGTTTCGATACTCTGTAGAACCGAAGCATTTCGGTCGGTACCATAAAAGAACCGAAGTTCGGTACGCAGCCCTCTATGCGCCTTATAGTCGTGAAAATACGGTAGTTATTTAATATTGGTTCTCTAAATGGAAATCAAGGCTAGATCCCACAGGATGTTTTAACCCTTCAGTAAAACATCAATAATTAAATTGTTTGGAAAACTAAGATTGGGTTTTTGTTCTGGGAAAATAAAAGAAAAGCATGTTCTGTTCAGACATAATCTAAAGCTTTAAAGATTAAAGTGGAGGCCCAAACCTCTGACTGAGATGTCAGAGCTGCAGTGCATGCTGGGAGATGTAGTTCCAGTCTCTTTGTATGTAGTTAGATTGACACAAGGATGATTAAAGTGAAGTGTCTTTTATTTAACCACCAACAGAAAGTATTTTTGCTGTGTTTGTCTTTCCAGGCCGCCTGCCTGATTATGTTGGAAAAGAGGTTTTCTCTGACCAGCAGCTCTGTGGACAGGAGAGGAATTCCAGTTTGGACCAAGAGGAATCTGAACATCCGCAGATAAAAGAAGAGCAGCAAGAACCAGAACATCCCTGGACAAAAGAGGAAACCATGGAGCTCCCCATAAGTGAGCAGAAAGAGCAGCTTGTTCTAAGGCACGAAGCTGAACATACAGGAGAGAAACCTTTACCATGTTTAACATGTGGAGAAAACTTTCTAAAAAAAGAGCATTTAATGGCTCACATGAGTCTGAAGTGTTATCAGTGTAAGATCTGTAGAAAAAGCTTTATTAAGAAATCTAAACTTGATAGACACACAAGAATTCACACAGGTGAGAAGCCTTTTACCTGTAACATTTGTAACAAGAATTTTACTAAAATAAGTAGTTTGACTAAACACACCAGAACTCACACAGGTAAGAAGCCTTTTACCTGTAACATTTGTAACAAGAATTTTACTAAAATAAGTAGTTTGACTAAACACACCAGAACTCACACAGGTAAGAAGCCTTTTACCTGTAACATTTGTAACAAGAACTTTACTTCCAAGAGTCACTTGACTACTCACAGCAGAATTCACACAGGTGAGAAGCCTTTTACCTGTAACATTTGTAACAAGAACTTTACTTCCAAGAGTCACTTGACTACTCACAGCAGAATTCACACAGGTGAGAAGCCTTTTGAATGTCTATCCTGTGGAAAACGCTTCACCTCTAAGACTGATCTTAATGTTCACACCAGAATTCACACTTGTGAGAAACCTTTTCAATGCCTGTCCTGTCCAAAAAGCTTCACTCAGAAATCTAATTTTGACAAGCACATGAGAATTCACACTGGTGAGAAGCCTTTTACCTGTAACATTTGTAACAAGAACTTTACTGAAAGAAGCAGTTTGACTAGACACACCAGAATTCACACAGGTGAGAAGCCTTTTGAATGTCTTTCCTGTGGAAAACGCTTCACTCGGAAATCTCATTTTGACAGGCACATGAGAATTCACACGGGTGAGAAGCCTTTTGAATGTCTATCCTGTGGAAAACGCTTCACCTCTAAGACTGATCTTAATGTTCACACCAGAATTCATACAGGTGAGAAGCCTTTTTCTTGCACGATTTGTGGCAAAAGTTTTACTCTAAAAAGTTATTTGACTAAACACATGAGAATTCACACAGGTGAGAACCTGTTCTGAATGATTATTCACAAAGATTTTAAATGAGAAGGTAATTTAAGTATCCAGGTGACATTTATTTATGCATGATGTGGAATGATTTATTGATTTAAAAAAACAAAAACCATTTTTTTAACATAAGTCATAACAGTTAGATGCCACAGGAATGAACAGTAGAGTCGTTTTCCATGTTGGAGATAAAATGTCCACGGGTTAATGTCCTTTTTTTCTTTTTTATAAAAGTTTTCATAAAGCCATGAATTAACAGCTCTGTTTACATTGAAACTAGAACAGATAAGATATTGTTAACCTGGTAAATATTCAGGTCCTGGGCGAATATGTGGATGTGAACATAAGAAAGTTAATTATTTTGGTCCTGAGTAAATTCGATTTAAATGGCCAAAAGTCGCCCTAACAGAAAAGCTGTTTACATTCATAATTTCTTGCTTTTTCTGTGATAAAGGGAATAAACTTAATAAAGTGCAACAACAACATCTTGGTTGCAGATGAAGCGAGTTTTCTGTCAGTACAATAAGCAAATGAGAAGTTCTAGATGTTTAAATTGAAATAAATCCAGAGAGACCCCCACTGTGTGATTTTTGGTATGGTGTGGCACAACTATTTTCCGGATGAATTTATTCAGAAAAAAAAAGTTTTATTTTTGAGACGTAGCAAACTGTTACCTGATTGTTAAGCTGTGGTTGGATATATTCCAGAAACAGACTTTTATTCAGATGAAAATATCCTCAGATGAAAATAAAAGCAAAGCTAGGACAGATTTAATGAGCTTTGCTCAGTGTTGCTGATGTTTTTGGAGGATTTTCTAAGAGATCAGCTGCAAATGATCAGAGTTTAGCTAATTCAGTGTCTTGTTGGCTTTCATTAGCAATGCATCAATCAGCCCTGCTACGTGTGTTGTTGAAACCAGGCCCACCAAAACTCCAACTGTTTTTGGCCCAGTGTTAGAGCTATGGTCAATGGATATTAGAATGAAGTAGATCATCTATAGAGGAGTCTCACATGAAGATTTGGGACATATATAAGTGTGTGTCAGTCTCAGAGTTAGTCAGCTACAAGCTAATTAATGTTGCAAAGTAGCTCCAGCCACCTTGAAAGGGGGTGCTGGGATTATGGGGTTAAACTACGGGACATCAAAGAACTCAGTTTAGAGGCTGGAGTCTGTAGTTCAGGTAAATTGAAGTCCTAAAATGATGAAACATGTTTGTTTAAAAAGATAAACAGGATTGATGATGTTGATGTTATTTTTACTGATCAGTTTGAACCTGCTTTAACTTGGTAAAAAGCCTTTGTCTTAATAATGTATTAAAGAAATCTGACTCTCCTCTAGAAGTGTAAAGTTTCTGCTTTTTAAACATTTTTTTGAAAGTATAATTTTCCTTTGAACTAATTCTAATAGTTTTGTTCTTGATTCTGTAGATGTTCTATTTACCTGCTATGATTGAAAGTAACTATCACCTATTTTATACAACTGATTTTATGGATTATATTCTGCTGTGGATGTTTTTAATTATTGTAATCACTTCTAAATTGATGAACGAGCAGCAATAAAACCTCTTGGATTGAAACAATGTGCTTCTTTATGGTTTCATATAAATAAGGAACAATATTTTCCATGTTTTCTCTGATATTTCCAGCCAAACTAAAGCTAAAATAAATAGTTTAATGTCATTCACCTTCTGTCTTCTCCAGTCTTTCCTGTTGCTCCTCCATCAGCATTAATCTTTTTTGCTTTTTAGAGCCTGAGTGTGTTCAAATCTGGCCATTGAATAAATCCTCCTTTACTTTTTTTCCAGAGTTTCATCTTTAATGGTTTAAACCTGAATGATGGAACTGAATCCCATTGATCCTCATTCACTCAGTAACACACCTAGAAATGATGGAAACAGCCTCAGGTGGATGGAAACTGGAAATGTTCCTCTGTTTAGGTCTGGAGATGATGGTCTGTCTGTTTGCTGAGGAGCATCAAATCTCTGCATCTTCTCAAAGGGACACTTTCAGTCTGACTGAATAAAAGGAGGAAAATCAGCAATTCATTCTAAACAAGTCAGATGGAAAGAATAATCAGGCAGATCCAGGATTTTTCAAAGGGGTGCGCAGCTTAGGGTGATGTCAAGACAACGTGAAACTAAATGACCAAAAAATGCCTTCTTTATTCTTTATGGGGACACGACTACATGTGGGGTGGCATTTTATTTCATGAAGAGGTGTTTTTTTTTTTTAAGTAATGTGATCTTAATGCTACATAGATCTAAAATGGCGGCCCAGCATCATCTAAGAGAACTATGTGTTTTCACCCCCTGATTCTTACTTTCCATGGCTGAAAAATGACCTTTGGTGGATTATTACGGCACATGAGTTTATTTTATGGGAAATACAACTGGATATTACTTTTCTGTGGAGTCCTAAGTACAAAATCAGAATGTTTTTACCATGATGGGTCAACATCTGGCCAGCAGAAGAGTTGAAACAAGATAAGAGCTGGAAGTTATGAATCATAAATTGATGACAGAAACACATCAGCCTCAGGACCGGATTCTAATATATCTGCAGTGGGAATTTAAATCTGATACAGTTCTGCTCCTGAAGCTCCCTGAACATCTTAACTCCCAGAACAGCAGTGAGAAGTTATGGAGGGTTATTATCACTGGATGATTTAAATGATACATATAATGCCTAATTGTCATTCCAGGAATGTGGACAAATTATAAATTATTTCCCCAAAACATTGATCAATTTAGTTCAAGGTTGCTTCAGTAATATTGCAGTTCTTAAACTTAAAAATATATTTATTAAATAAAACAATATAATAGATGAAAAAATGCAAAAACATCTTTTTAAGAAAAGTGTCAACAAATATCTTATATCCTTATCAATTAAAAGATTTTCCTGTTAAAAGAATACTACAAAAATAATATCCGTGTATTGAGAACCAAATATCTTAAGTTTGCTATTCCAACTAAATATAAAGAGCTTCATTAAAAACTTCAAATGACTTTTATCCTTCCAACCAATTCATATGCTCCAAATTGAAATTCGCTGTAAAAAAAATGTTGTCTATGTGAGCAAGAAGAGGAATGAACTGAACATCTTTTTTTTATTGTAGTAAAACCAAATATTTTTTTACCTCAGTTCCTTACTGCTTATTCTCCAAGTCCTTAAAAATAAATTTTCTCCCTCCTCCGCAATGAAATTTGATATCATTGCTCAAGATAAACAGTTTAAAGTTATCTTCATTGAAAAGTACAGTGCTTTTCCTTCAAAAATGAGGACATTTCAATGTGACCCCAAACTTTTGAACAGTAGTGTATGTATGTATGCATATATTGTGTTTTTTAACAATTTTAACAATTGCTAATTTGAAGTATAAGTAAATGACCTGTACTCATATAGCACCTTTTTTCAAGTCAGGAGACTTGACCAAAGCGCTTTACACTACATTCATTCACCCATTCATGCACACACTCACCACTGATGGTGGCAAGCTACATTGTAGCCACAGCTGCCCTGGGGCTCACTGACAGAAGCGGGGCTGCCGTACACTGGCGCCACTGACCACCATCAGTAGACAATGCAGGTGAAGTGTCTTGCCCAAGGACACAACGACACTGGAAGTCGGAGTCGAGGCCTGAACTGTCAATCCTTCAATTTCAGGGAAAACTCCTACTTTCGACGCCACTGTCGCCCCTCATGTTTAATGAAAACTAAGGGCCGGATCTATCAAAGGTTTGCGTGTATAAAAACGTGAGCTATTTCACTGCGCACGCTAAAAAATTTACAAACTGATCTATCAACAGCGTGCTAAAAGGATTTGGTCTTTAAAACGTGCTAAATAGCGCCTCTTATCCATTTAGTACTTTTTCTGCAATGAATATGCAATATGGGGCGTTTACACGCAAAAGTGCGTCTTGTGGGAGGAGAACATGTAAATATATTAATTTAGCACTCGCAAAGTGATTTATTAAACCTGAAAGCAATTTTTCTAACGGTATCTGAGTCTATATTTAACATGTTTCAAAAGAAGGTGCAAATGGTCTGTATGCGTAATTGCGCACACATGGCAGCGGTTATTGTCGCAAGAAGGAGACATCGAAATGAAGCAAGGAGACGCAGAGAACGCATTTTTTCACTCCGTGTGAATATTTTTGGAATGAACGAGGAAACGATCATCAAAACATATCGTTTATCCAGCATTGCCATTTTGGAGCTGTTGGGGGAACTCCGAATGGATTTGGAGCCAGCCACAAGGAGGACCCACGCAATACCAGATATCACAAAACTCCTTGCAACATTGCACTTTTTTGCATCTGGGTCATTCCAGCGTACGGTTGCAGCGAGAGCTGGGATCTCCCAATCTCGTTTTTCAGAAGTGCTGTCCGACGTTCTAAATGCCATGTCGCCCTGACGCCCTACCGGAGAACCCCGACCTCCCCCCTGCGCCTGTGGAGCAACATGCCAATGCTGCGGGGATGCGTACGCGCAGTAATCTCATCCACAGTCACTTCTTGTGAGCCATTTGGTATGTGCATTTTTCTACAGGCCAATACAAAACACCTGTTTTTTTTTTTTTTTTTTACTGCAGTGAAGTAGAAATTCAGCCACATACCACCTTAGGGACTAAAGGTTGCCAAAGTTTATATATATATATATATATATATATATATATATATTGGAGGGGGTGGGGGTGCCACTGTAAGATTAAAATTTCTTAATGCATTGGTTTGTACAAACTACTTTGCCGCAAACCACAAAACGTGCAAAACCATCATCTAAATAGGGCGTCTCTAACAGTTTTGCACCTGCCACCAGTTACGCAATCACTCTTGTTAAATCACCCGCATTCCATGGTTCAGCCTGCACGCAAAATTGGAACTTGATAAATCCGGCCCTATGTGTTTTCAC